GAGATACTTGTACACCCATATTCACAGCAGCATTGTTCACAACAGCCAACAGGGGGAAACAACCCAAGTGTCCATCAACAGATGATTGGATGAACAAAATGTGATATGTGCATGCAATGGAATATTATTCAGCCTTAAAAATGAATAAAATTCTGATAAATGCTACAACGTGAGAGTGAAATAAGCCAGACCCAAAGGAACAAATACTTGTATGAACTACTTGTATGATTCCACTTGTATGAACTACTTAGAATAGGCAAATTTATAGAGTCAGAAAGTAAGATAGAGGTTATCAGGAGCTGGGGTGGGGGGATGGTGGTGAGAAATGGGGAGTTAGTGGTTAATGGAGACAGTTTCTGTTGGGATGTTGTAAAGTTCTGGAGATGGATATGATGATGGTTGTACAACATTGTAATTGTACAACAATGCCATTGAATTGTATATTTAAACATGGTAAAAATGGCACATTTTATGTTATATATATTTTACTACAACTTAAAAAAAGAAATGTAGGATGAGAAAAAAAAAGTTAAACTGTCCTCTTATTATTTTTTTTCTGTAGTCCTGGGGAATAAACAGCCAGGAAGTTGAACTTTTCTTGGAGGGGTGGTTCCTGTTACAGGTGTCCTCTCATTTCTAATCTTGCTCCACTGTTCTCCAGCCTTCTGTGCGGAGCACCCCCTTTCCTCAGGCTCCAGCAGTGCAGACTGCCACCCACTTTGGGAAACTTCACGCCCTATCGACTCACTGGGATGCTGCCCAGGATCTGTTCCCACCCTGTGTCAGTCAGCGATGCCACATAACAATCACAAAAATCTCAGTGGTTTACAGCAACTAGTGTCGTTTCTCTCTTAGTGTTTCCAAGTGAGCCAGAGTTTGATTGATCACCCATGATATTGATGGTGACCAGTCAAGGCACTGAACATTTCTATCAAAGGATCCTCGTGGTGCCCTGTTATAGTCACACTCCCACCCCTTCGTGACTCCTGCTACCACTTGTTCCCCATTTCAATAATTATGTCATTTCAAGAATGTTATATAAATGTTATCATATAGCATGAAACCTTTTGGGGTTGGCTTTTTTCATTCAGATACTTCTGTGGAGAGCAATCTAGGTTGGTGCATGCACCAATAGTTTGTTCAGCATTTTAGATCTATAAGTTTATGTCTCTTGTCAAATTTGGGAAGTGTTCAGCTCCACCCTCTTTCTCTTCTCCTTCTAAACTAATACGAGTTTCAGTTGAAATTTCATCTATGGAGCATTAGTGTAGGGTTGACAAGAGGGTATAAAACCTGGTCCTTTTCCTGTTGGAAAGTTGGTTTCTGAAATTGAAATCCCTGGGTGAGCAACCTTGGTCACATTCCCTAGCCACCCCATGGCCTTGGTTGCGTTTTCTGTTTCTCTTCATAGGGTTCTTTTTTTTTTTAATTTTTTATTACAGTTGACATTCAATATTATTTTATATTAGTTTCAAGTGTATAGTATAGTGGTTAAACATTTATATAATTTATGAAGTGATCTTCCCTAAGTCTAGTACCCACTTGGCACCATACATAGTTATTATAATATTATTAACTATATTCCCTATGGGGTACTTTACATCCCTGTAACTATTTTGTAACTACTGATTTGTTTATTAATCCCTTCACCCAGCCCCCAACTCCCCTCCCATCTGGCAACTCTCAGTTTATTCTCTGTATCCATGAGTCTGTTTCTGTTTTGTTTGTTCATTTATTTTGTTCTTTATATTCCACATATAAGTGAAATTATATGATATTTGTCTTTCTCTGTCTTATTTCACTCAGCATAATACCCTCTAGATCCATCCATGTTGTTGCAATAGTAAGATTTCCATCTTTTTTACGGCCAAGACATTATATATCACATCTTTATCCAGTTGTCTACTGATGGGCACATAGGTTGCTTGCATATCTTGGCTATTGTAAATAATGCTGCAATGAACACAGGGGTGGATATATCCTTTTGAAATAGTGCTTTGGATTTCTTTAGAAAATATCCAGAAGTGGAATTGCTGGGTAATAAGGTAGTTCTATTCTTAATTTTTTGAGGAACCCCATACTGTTTTCCATAGTGGCTACACCAATTTGCAATTTCACCAACAATGCATGAGGATTCCCTTTATTCCAAATCCTTGCCAACACTTGTTGTTTGTTGATCTATTGATGATAGCCATTCTGATAGGTGTGAGGTTTTAATTCTCATTGTGGTTTTAATTTGCACTTCTCTCATGATTAGAACCGTTGAGCATCTTTTTATTTGCCTATTGATCATCTATATGTCTCTCTTTAGAAAAATGTCTATTCCAGTCCTCTGCTCATTTTAAAATTTAATTGTTTGGGTTTTTTGGTGTTAAAATGTGTGATTTCTTTATAAATTTTGGATATTACCCCTTATCAGCTGTATCATTGGTGAATATCTTCTCCCATTGTCTTTTCGTTTTGTTAATGGTTTCTTTTGCTGTGCAAAACCTTTTTAGTTTGATGTAGTCCTATTTGTTTATTTTTTTTCTTTGTTTCCCTTGCCCAAGGAGATATATAACAAAAAATATTGCTAAGAGCAATGTCTGAAATTATACTGCCTATGTTTACTTTTTTCTTCTAGGAGTTTTATGATTTCAAGTCTTACATTTAAGTCTTTAATTATTTTAAGTTTATTTTAAGTTTATTCCTGTATATGGTATAAAAAGGTGATTTAGTTTCATTTTTTTTTCATGTAGCTGTCTAATTTTCCCAACACCATTTACTGAATAGACTATCTTTACCCCATATTATTATAGACTATCTATACCACATATGTTCTTGCCTTCTTTGTCAAATATTAATAATATGGGTGTGGGTTTATTTCTGGGCTTTCTTTCTGTTCCATTAATCTATATGTCTGTTTTTATGCCATGCTGTTTGATGACTATAGTCTTGTAGTATAGTTTGATATCAGGTAGTGTGGTACTTCCAATATTGTTCTTCTTTCTCAAGATTGCCATTGTTATTTGGGGATTTTTATGGTTCCATATACATTTTAGGATTATTTGTTCTAGTTTTGTGAAACATGCCATTGGTATTTTGATAGGAATTGCATTGAATCTATAGATTGCTTTGAGTACTATAGACAATTTATTAATGTTAATTCTTCCTATCCATGAGCATGGTATATGCTTTCATTTATTTGTATATTCTTCAGTTTCTTTCTTCAATATCTTGTAATTTTCTGAATGCAAGTCTTTTACTTCCTTGGTTAAATTTATTCCTAGGTATTTTATTTTTGATACAATTGTAAATGGGATTGTTTTCTTAATTTATCTTTCTTCTTTTTCTTTTTTTTTGGTACGTGCCCCAAGAGGGCACCAAATCCAGGACTCTCTGGTTTGAAGGCTGATGCTTCAACTGCTGAGCCAAAACGGCCAGGGCTATCTTTCTTCCTTTTTTAATCCACACCTGAGGACATGCTTGGTGGAGGAAGGGGGGTGGCGGGACAGGGGAAAGAGAGAGAGACATTGATCAGTTGCCTTCTGTATGTGCCCTGACCACAAACTGAACTGGCAACCTCTCAGTGCACAGGATGACATTCAACCAACTGAGTCACTCTGGCTGGGCTTAGTTTTTTTTTATGATAGTTTGTTATTGGTGTGTAAAACTGCAACCAATTTCTGAATATTAATTTTGTATTCTGCTATTTTACTGAATTTACTATCAGTTTTAATAGTTTTTTTTTTTTTTCTTTTGGTGGAATCTTTAGAGTTCTTTCTATATAGTATCAGGTCATCTGCAAGTAATGGCAGTTTTACTGCTTCCTTTCCAACTTAGATTTTTTTTCTTATCTGATTGCTGTGGCTAGGACTTTTTCTTTCTTTCTTTTTTTTTATCCTCACCCGAGGATATTTTTTCATTTTTTATACAGATAGAGTGGGAGGGAGAGAGAGGAAAGGAGAGAGAGACAGAAACATCGACGTGAAGGGACACATCGAGTGGCTGCCACCCGCACGACCAACCAGGGCTGGGGACAAACTGCAACTGAAGTACATGCCCTTAGCGGGAACTGAACCCGGGTCTCTCCAGACCGCAGGCCAACGCTCTAACCGCTGAGCCAAACCAGCCAGGGTGTGGCTGGGACTTTTATACTATGTTGAATAAAAGTGGCAAAACTGGACATCCTTGTCTTATTCCTGATCTTAAGGGAAACACTGTTAGCTCTTCACCATTAAGTATGATGTAATATATGACCTCTGTTATGTTGAGGTATATTCCCTCTATTTACATTTTGCTGAGAGTTTTATGGGGTCATTTTGAGAATTGGATAAGTCAATTGTATGTGAAAGGAATCTGTAATATTATAATTGTATACTCTGTAAGAAGTAAAGTAGGAGTTTGATTTAGCTATCTGTTCAGTTGTTCATTCATTTATTCATTCACATATTTTTTAAGTCTCAGGTACAAATGAAAAAATGAAGCCATGCTTTGAAAATCTACTCTAGGAAGAGCTAGAGAGCCAGGACTATGTGCCAGTTTTTCCTTAGCCATCCTGTTCAGTTCCTCCCTGAAACTGCTATTGGTCTGAATTAGACATCTGCTTTTTCTGTGGGGCAGGGAGATGGTTACACGTAGGTTTCAAAGACCTTGTATGAATCAAACTAAGTTTTCAAAATCTGAGAAATAAACACAGTTGGGGTAGAATACATGAAGTCCTACAGACTAATAGTGAAGTGGCCAGAGAGCAAATAGCTTGTTGAACTTGGAAACTTTAAGGGCAAGATTTGCAGTGGACAAGCTGCATACTGTCGTTCTGAGCTCCTTCCTAGAAGTGGCTGCATGTACCTCACCATGGACTAGGAGCTTCTTGAGGGCAGGGGCTTTGCCTCCTTGAATTTGGGTCCCTACTGTCTAGTCCTATTCTTGCTCATAGTAAGTCCTGATGTGGTAGAATCAACTTGCAATGTGGTAGAATCAAGTTGCAATGATGAGCATTCTTGGTTTTGGATTTGCAGACTGGAGCCCTCCCTCGACTGTGTGATGTGCTACAGGTGCTGCGGGAGGAACAAGACCAGTGCCTGCAGGAACTCTCCGAAGAGAGGACAAGAGGCCTAAGCACGGTGCAGCCAGCGTCAGGTACTTAGCCCACCTTAGTCCACCCCTGACGTGGATTGTGTCCAGTCCCACTCTGTCAGGGGAAGTTGGACCAGGTATATTCATTCGAATAATCAGTTGGTGATCAGTCTACACACACCCCAAAAGCCAGATCATTACCACTCTTTCTCTGGCCTTGTGCACATAGCCAAGATTTATGTACCACTAACTTCTGCAACTTCACCAAGGTAAGAGTTTGCTAAGAATTTCTTGTCAAGGCAGCGTACCTCTCCTGTTCTCTCACCTCCAGTGCTAGTTTGATGAGTAAGGTAGTCGGGAAGGCAGCGTGGGGTCAGAAAAGCCTGGGGTGGCTGTGCGACCATGGACAAATTATTTAACCATCTGAGCCTCAGTTTCCTGACCTATAAAGTGATTGTCTACTTCAGAATTATAATGATACATGAGATGAAATATGTTAAATGCAGGTGTTTCTTAAATATTATTAATTTAAATAATTATCAATCAAGACTTTAAATATTATTAATTTGATATTTAAGTGTTCATTTTAGTTCTAGTCCCTTCCTTAACCTATCTTCTTTGCTTTCCCTCGTCTATGGGCAAGGAAGGGTTGCATTAAGAAAAGAATCTAGCCCAGTCGGTGTGGCTCAGTGGTTGAGCATCAACACATGCCCCAAGAGGTCACTGGTTCGATTCCCGGTCAAGGCACATGCCCAGGTTGTGGGCCTGGTCCCCAGTTGGGGGCATGCAGGAGGCGGCCAATTGATGTTCTCTTTCATCAACGTTTCTATCTTTCTCTCCTTCTCCCTTCCTTTCTCTCTAAAAATCAATAAAGAAAAAAATTTAAAAAAAGAAAAGAATCTATTACAGGTATTCAAATAAAGACTTGCACACATGTGTTCATAGTAACACATAGCCAAGAGGTGGAAACACACCAAATGTCTGTCAGCTAATGAATGGATGAACAAAATGTGTGTACATCCAGTGGAATATTATTCAGTCTTAAAAAGAAATGAAGTACTGATACATGCTACAACATGGATGAATCTTAAAACACGTTAAGTAAAGAAGCCAGTTATAAAAGATCGTGTATTATATGAACCCATTTATATGAAATATTTACTTCGGGTAAATCTTTAGGGACAGAAATCAGATTAGTGGTTGTGAGAGACTGAGGGGAGGAGGAATGAAGAGTAACTGCTTAGGAGTTCCCTTTTGGTGGTGATGAAAATGTGTTAGAACTATATGAAGGTCGTGGCCACACAATACTGTGAATGTTCTAAATACCCCTGAATTGTACACTTTAAAATGGTTAATTTGATGTTATGTGAATTTATTTTAATAGATTTCATTGTTTTAGATCAATTCACTGCAAAATTGAGTGGAAAGTACAGAGTTCCCATATACTCCCTGCTCCATGAACACACAGCCTCCCCTACCGTCAACATCCTGTACCAGAGTGATACTTTTGGTACAATGATGAACCTACACCGGCACATCATTATCACCCAAAGTTCATAGTTTACATCAGGGTTCACTCTTGGTTGTGTATATTTTGTGGGTTTTGACAAACGCATAATGCTATGTATCCACCATTATAATATCTTACAGAGTGATTTCTCTATCCTAAAAATCCTCTGTGCTTCACCCATTCATCCCTCTTCTCTAGCCACTGGCAGCCACTGATCTTTCTACTGTCTCCATAGTTTTGCCTTTGCCAGAATGTCACATAGTTGGAATAATACATATGTATCCTTTTTAGAATGGTTTCTTCTACTTCGTAATATATAGTCAAGGTTTTCTCCATGTCTTTTCATGGCTTGGTAGTTCATTTCTTCTTTATTTTTTATTTTTTATTAATCCTCACCCCAAGGATATTTTTTCCATTAATTTTTAGAGTGGAAAGGAGTTGGGGGCGGGGGAGAAACATTGATGTGAGAGAGACATATCGATTGGCTCCCTCCCACATGTGCCCCGACCAGGGCTGGGGATCGAACCTGCAACCCAGGTATGTGACCTTGACTGGGATTCGAACCTGTGACCCTTTGATGTGTGGGCCTGTAACCACTGAGCAACACTGGACAGGGCTCATTTATTCTTAGAGTGCAATAATATTCTGTTGTCTGGATGTACCACTGTTTATCCATTCACCTACTGAAGGACATCTTGGTTGTTTCCAAGTTTTTGCAACTATAAATAAAGCTGCTCTGTGTGGACATAAGTTTTCAACTCAGTTGGATAGGTACTAAAGAGCATGATTGCTGGATTAAATGATAAGAGTATGTTCACTTTTGTAAGAAACTGCCAAACTGTCTTCCGAAGTGATGTACTATTTTTTTTAATCATCACTCGAGGATATTTTTACAATTTATCTTCAGATATAGCTGGAGGAAGAGAGAGAAAGAGAGAGGGAAACATAGATATGAGAGAGATACATCGATTGGTTGCCACCTGCACAACCCCAACCGGGGCTGGGGATGAACCACAACTGAGGTACCTGCCTTTGGCTGGAATCAAACCCGGGACTTTTTGTTCTGTGGGCGACGCTCTTACCGCTGAGCCATACCAGCTAGGGTGGCTGTACTATTTTTAATTTAATTTATTGGGGTGACATTGGTTTACAAAACCATACATGTTTCAAGTGTACAACTCAATAAAACATCATCTGCACACTGCATTGGGACCCCCTTGCCCCAAGTAAAGTCTCTTTCCATCCCCATTTCCCCCTTTGCTCACATTCACCTACCCCACACCTCCCGTTCCCTCTGACTGTCACCACACTGCTGTTTGTGTCTATGTGTTATGTATATATGTTTTTTGGTTAATCCCTTCACCTTCTTTCATCTAGTCCCCCACTCCTCCCCTCTAACACCTGTCAGTCTGTTCCATGTATCCATGTCTCCTTTTCTATTTTGTTTGTCAGTTCATCTTGTTCATTAGATTCCACATATAAATGAAATCATATGGTATTTGTCTTTCTCTGACTGGCTTATTTCACTTAGCATTATAATCTCCAGGTCCATCCATGCTGCCTGAAAGGTAAATTTTTGTTTTGTTTCTATGGCTGAGTAGTTTTCATTGTGTAAATGTACCACTGCTTTTTTTATCCACTCATCTATTGATTTGGGCTGTTTCCAGATGTTACCAAATCTTGACTATTGTAAATAACACTGCAGTAAACATAGGGTGCATATATTCTTTCAAATTAGTGTTTCAGATTTCTCTGGATATATTCCCAGAAGTAGGATCACTGGATCAAAAGGCAGTTTCATTTTTAATTTTTTGAGGAAAGTCCATACTGTTTTCCACAGTGACTGCACCAGTCTACATTCCCACCAATTCCCAGCCATTCTGACAGGTATCAGGTGATATCTCATTGTGGTTTTAATTTGCAGCTCTCTGATGATTAGTGACCTTGGGCATCTTTACATATGTCTATTGGCCATCAGCATGTCCTCTTTGGAGAAGTGTTTATTCAGGTCTTCTGCCCATTTTTAATTGGGTTGTTTGTCTTCTTAGTGTTGAGTTGTACAAGTTCTTTATATTTCTTGGAAATTAACCTGTTATTGGATGTTTTATCGACATTATGTTCTCTTATTCAATAGGTTCCCTTTTGTTGATGGTTTCTTTTGCTGTACAGAAGCTTTTTAGTTTGATGTAGTACCATTTGTTTATTTTTTCCTTTGTTCCCCTTGCCTGAGGCGGTATATTGGCTAAAATATTGCTACAAGAGATGTGTGAGATTTTACTGCCTACATGTTCTTTTAGGATTTATATGGTTTCATGATTTACATTTACGTACTTAATCCATTTTAAGTTTATTCTTGTGTATAGTATAAGTTGGTGGTCTAGTCTCATTTTGTTGCATGTACCTCTCCAACTTTCCCAACACCATTTATTGAACATACTGTCTTTACTCCATTGTATGCTCTTGCTTCTTTGTCAAATATTAATTGACCATAAAGGTGTGGGTTGATTCCTGGGCTTTCTGTTCTGCTCCATTGATCTATGTGCCTGTTCTGTTGCCAGTACCAGGCTGTTTTGATTACAATGGCTTAGTAATATAGTTTGATATCCGGTATTGTGATCCCTCCAACCTTGTTCTTCTTTCTCAAGATTGCTGAGGCTATTTGGGTTTTTTGGTTCCATATAAATTTTGAAATATTTGTTCTAGATCAGTGAAATATGCCATTGGCATTTTGAATCTATAGATTACTGTGGGTAGTATGGACATTTTAATGATGTTAATTCTTCCAATCCACGAACACAGTATATGCTTCCACATGTTTGTATATTCCTCAGTTTCTTTCTTCAATATTCTATAATTTTCCAAGTACAGGTCTTTTACCTCCTTGGTTAAATTTATTCTTAGGTACCTTATTTATGTTGTTGCAAGAGTAAATGGGATTTTTAAAAAAATTTTCTCTTTCTAATAGTTCATTATTGGTGTATAAAAATGCCACCAATTTCTTAATATTAATGATATATCCTGCTACTATGCCAAATTCATATATTAGATATGGTAGTTTTGGGGTGGAGTTTTTAGGGTTTTCTATATACATTATCTTGTCATCTGTGAATGAGAATTTTACTTCCTCCTTTCCAATTTGGATGCCTTTTATTTCTTCTTTCTTGTCTGATTGCTGTGGCTAGTTCTTCCAGTACTATGTTGAATAAGAGTGGTGAAAGCTGATATCTCTATCTTGTTCCTGATATTAAAGAAAATGCTTTTTTTTACAATTTCTTTTTTCTTTATTGCTTTTAGAGAGAGAGGAAGTGAGAAAGAGAGAGAGAGAGAGAGAAACATCAACAAGAGAGAACATCGATTGGCTGCCTTCTGCATGCCCCCCACTGGGGATTGGGCCCACAACCTGGGCATGTGCTCTGACCAGAAATTGAACCAGCGACTTCTTAATGCATGGGTCAACACTCAACCACTGAGCCATACCAGTTGGGCTAAAGGAAATGCTTTTTGTTTTTTGGACATTGAGTATGATGTTGCCTGTGGGTTTGTCATATAATAC